CAAATAGAAAATGGTTATTTTAAATGAAAAACTATTTTAAAAATATAACTGTTTTATTGTATTTTGAATCAAATAAATGTAGCCTTGGTGAGCAAAAGAGATTTCTTTTAAAAGCATTAAAAAAATCTTGCTGAGTCTAAATTTTTGAACAGTAGTGTATGTTGATTTAAAATATTTCAATCTGAACATTTACAAACAACAAGTTTGTAACAGCAAATATTGTAGCTGCTTAACTCAATCTATGAAATGAATTTATTCTTGAATTTACAGTAAAATTAGTATTACTGAACACAGCATGTTTGTCATTTGCATTGAATTCAGATGAAGGACGGCAAAAAAAGTATATGCAGAAGCTTGAGATGATCAGGCATCCCTAAAATATTCTCTGTTGTAAGAAATATATGTTATTGTTTTGATACATGGCATAGGACCTTTATACAGTATCAATTATGTGCTTCCTTCAAATCAAGTCATATAGTAGCTCAAAAAGATATTATACTTTTTATTGCTGACATTTTTGTAATATTTATAGAAATAATTGAGTGAAATCATTGTAAGAGTAATCTGTAATCTCATTTATCGGATGGCTGGTTTATTGATCCTTGCAATTTTTCCAGTGCAAAATGCATTATACAAGTTTATTTGTCTTAGCGCTTCTGTTTATCACTTGAATAAGGACAGATCTGTCTGAAGGACATCACCACTGCTGATATATTATATTGCAGCACTCACACATGATGCAACTAAATATTCTGTGGACAACAATTCAAGGACTTTATGTTCAGTTACGTTTAGGGGAAAGAATGGTACAGGCCTGAAACAGAACACAAGTGCATAAGAATGGGTCTATTAAGGTTACATGATGATTAAGTATTTAAATATAGTCTTACATGTGTTTCTATGTGTCTTCCATTGCACTCGCATGCACGGTGCAGCTGCTGTATGCACATGCTTAATTGCACTGTGTGCTTCCACACGTTCAGCTGCTTTTCACACATGCTTCCTTGCACTAACCTTAAGTGCCTTAGGTAGGCTTTAAGGTATAATCTGAGCTTTAGAAATGTAGTGCTTTGTCTGTTTCATTTTAATGATTCAAATACTGCATAGCAATATATTCAAGCGCCAGCACGCACATTTCACGCACTTATATTTGTGAGGAAAACCTTTGTCTTCCCTTCTTTCACTCTTTCCATTGCTTCGTCTTATTTTTTGAAGGATCTATACTGAGAAATGTCACAGAAAACAATAAAGGAATGTGGAGTGTAACCGGAGCAGATCTTTTTACTTACATCAACACACATTTGAAAATGTAAAAGTGCAGGAATTTGTTATGAATTATTACAATTATTCTTAGTTAGCTTTATCAGATATTTAACTACTTCATCTTTAAAAAAAAAAAAAACTTTTTCTTTCTCTTTATTTATTCCTTCCCTTTTCTAGCTTGTACTTATTTGAACAATGTCTAAGAACTTGGTATTACAAGCACTTCCTGTGTCTGTTTGCCTCTTTAAGAAGAATCGCTTTATGTATCCCCCAACTGTAAGTCGCTTTGGATAAAAGCGTCGACAAAATGAATTTTAGACCAAGAGTTTTTAAACTTTTGGACTCCAAAATATTATGATCCCCTTTAGAGGGACCACCTTCCTGAAAATAGTAAGCATGATATTAAAAATTTGTTTCCAATATTGTTTCCAAAATTAAATAATAGGGGTTTATTTGTTCTTGTACTGAAGCCAAAATAAACAGCTAGGCTATATTTGCCTTTTTCCATATGCAATAGTAGAATATAAAAGAAACATTTTATATTCAATTTAAATATTGTATAGCATTGTACAGCATCATCATAAATATAACAAAACAGCTTTGTTGAAAATAGTGTAACCACCAGTGACAGTGAAGGAGACGCATCACACCAAACATGAAAATTATATTCAATATTATTAAAATTCTCTCTCTCTTTCTCTCTGTATATGAAATATTCATAGGATGCATATCCTCCAACAAAGCCTTATGATCCACCATTAAATTTTAATAAGGTATCAGACCATTGACGTTTTGTCTGTACCTGGTGCGCAAAGAAACATCGTTACTTTTTTATTTCAACTGGGCTGCATTGAGTTTTTACTATAAACATGAACAGATGAAGCTGCAGCTTATTAGACTGCCACACTGGCAGAACCCTCTGGAAACTAAAAAAGGAAATTTTCAAATAGGGCAGTTCTCTGAACTTACAAGATGGAGCCCAAAAGTTTCTTCCCGAACTCTGAAGACTCCTTTAGTAACCCAGTTTCCAAGGAAAAGCTTAATATCGCTATATTTCTGAATTTGGTTGCACAATAAAATATCTGAGGCACCTTTAAAGGGTGTGGCAACCTCAAATGGTGGCGCAAGTATCTATGGATTTTTTTCACAATGTTGACTTTGTCTAGATTATTTACACGAGCGTTCTCTTGCTGTTTTCTTGAACAACAACTTGTACACACACGTTTCAGCTGGTGGTAATGGGCAGGTCGTAGTTAAGTTTTTTTCTAATGACACAGCGTGGTGTAGCCTATGGGCGTGAATCTCCTCTTACTTAATCTCACCATCCCACTGTCTTCCTCGAGTAATCACTGAGGGAGTTGCCTCAATAACGGACCAACAGCTCCAGCATCCGAAAGCAGAGAAGACAAGGTAAGAACCGCAACAACCGCAGAAAGTCTATATAGCCTATCGATATATCAAAGACGCCAGTGGAAACTCAACTCGCGCGTGTAGCGGTCTGGTCCCCATTAGGCTACTCACAACGCCACTCAGCTTTAAAAAAACAATGAGCTGGCTACCTTGACTTCTGTTCAGGACTATGTTCAGTGAAATTAAGTTGAAATAAAACCCGTTATCCTTTCAAATGATGACGTAAAGCCACTTTAAAATAGATTTTAAGATTTTAACTACATTTATTGCTGAAGTTCGAGCTGAATTCTTGCTAATCTTGCCCATGGGACATGTCGTTTCAAAAGAATCTTCACGAGTCGAGTCTTGCCTCAGATAAAAGAGATGCACACGGGGCCTTGTAGGGAGTTCTTCACATAGCCTACCAGTTTAGTCATTACGAGTCACTAAGGGGTTTCTGAACGAACGCTGTGTGTGGTTTAGGTGGGGTCCATGTATCCGTGTGCATTTGTTACAATAATTTTAGGTTTATTTGTATGCGTTCAGATATGTCATGACCCCACCCATATTGAGAAATTTGCTGCAGTGGCTATACGAGAGAGCTTGTTTATTGTTTTTAAAAATTGCCAGGAATGCATAGAATTATTATTTATTTTTTCAAACCTCATGCGCATAAATTTTAATAGTATGCAGGTGAAAAGTTACTTTAAGTTCTTAAGTCATTAACGCTCATGTTTTTGGCATGATCCAAATAGTATACACCACTGAGTAGTCGGTATTTATTAATTTTGTTGTAAGTGATTTGTCTTGTGTTTGTTCTCCAGGTATATACAAGCAGGATACTGTGGTCAGGATGGTGTACTATACTGCCTTCGCTACCTTTTTTCTGTTGGGTAAATTTACATTCTTATTAGTTTTCACCACATGCTCAAAGAAAAAAAAAAACCTGTTCCTCTTTTTCTTGCTTTTTTACTTCCCCAGTTACACTAGTTGTGTCTTTCAGTATGATGTACTAACAATGTTATCCTATGAAAATACACAGGACAAATATCAGGGTCTAATCTACTGTATATTATGCCATACAAGTATTGTACCCGTTTTAAATGACTTGAACTTAAGGCTAAGTTGGTGTTGTTATTTTCTAGGTGTTGCTTCTGCCCAGACTTCCCTTCAGCTTTCATCCTGTTTGACTAAGGACCAAAACCTGGACATGTACTGCAAGTTCACTCCCGCTTCAGACCCCAAGCTCCAGAAGACTTGCTACTACATGACGGAGAATAAGTTGGTTGGCTCTACCAACATGAGCACCATCCCAGACAGCACCTTCAAAAACCGTGCCACTGTCTCTATAGCGGAAAACATGTGTAAGCTGAATTTGAAAGGTTTCTCAGATGACCAACCCAAAAACTACACCTGTTTCATCAAACAAACTGCCACACCAATGTCAGTCTCTGCAGTCGTGGATAAGAGTAAGTAACACAACTTTAACATTTATTAGCATTTAACATTTATTAGGCTACGTCTTGCTTTTCCCTTAAATAAATTGTATATTTATTGACTAAGTAGATTTTGCAGCTGCACAAGTAAATTTTTAATTGGCAACTTAATTGTCAAGGAAGCATACTTTAGTTGTTTTTGTGCTTTTATTTTTATTCACTTATGACTTTTTTTTTGTAATGAATCCATGACTGACAGATGATGATCAAGCTGCTCTGTTTTTTTTCTTTTTCTTTTTTCCCAGGTAAGCTTCAGACTTGTTCTGCCTGGGGTGTCATGCAACACAGTGGAGCAGCACTCCTGCTAGCTTTCCTCACTTTCCCATTGTTGTCCGAGCTTCTCTGAGTCTAGATTGTATCTCTTGGTACAACACCAATCCCTAAAACCAAAATTATAAATCCTCTAGCTTGTACTACAAAGTAACCTGTGTGTTTCCTCCCTCAGAAATTATGAAAGATGTGGCTGTTAAAAACACTCACGTGACGCATGTCCCTTGCATAACAAATAAAATGATGTACCTTTTGCTGTGGGATTATGTTTTATAGAGTGAACTCACTGTTTGACATTGTTTTAAGCATGAATTCTAAAATGAAAGAAAGAATGCATTCGGATTATGTGTTGGTGTTATGAAAGCTGTCATGTTTAGTTTATTTGTTGCAGCGCCTTACAAACATGTCTTAATAAACTTATTTCAGTACAAGTAAAATGATGACGCTGTGTATGGCCGCCACCTAGTGACTAACATTAAAATCTAGAAAAACTTGCGCATGCGCAGGAAAAGGAAGTGTCGTCTGAACGTTTGCTCCTAACAACAAACGGGTAACTATCTATTAAATGTAACTAGGGAATGGTTTTTGGGGGGTAAACTATAATATGCATTATTACTAGTTATACATTACTTTTAAACGGGATGGTTTTCACGCATTTGTTTTTTTGCTTAACGTTAGCTCAAATGCTAAATCCGTTCTTGTTTTGCTTCTTGCCGAGTTGGTCTAAGTAATACTAATGTTGGCGGTATAAGTAGTATCACAGTTAAAAGTAAAAATGAATGATGGACAACATATGTAATCAGTTCGCAAAGTGAGCTATGTATTGCTTTGCGGGCTGTTTCTCAACACATCGGTGTGATGGGAGTTTTAACGCAATGGCGTAAAAATCTACAACACGTCGCCGACGCCACACACCTGCTATGAGTTGTTGGACATTTTTAAGAGCAGGATAACTTAAGTCCAGTTGTGCAAGGTTTAGGTATCAAATATGCTGCTTTGCTTTCCTGTTGTTTACTAGCTATTGTTTTTGTAGTGAGTGTTTACGTTTGAGGACACCGAAGCCTTGACCCGAATTTGCTTAAAAATATGAAGTAAGTTTCACCTTCAGTATTAACGTTATACTTAAGCCAGACCTTATGGTCCTCATCATAACGTTGAAATCTGCACTGCTACAGTGTTATCTGAAGTGATTTTATATCCTCTAAAAAATCAAGACGTCAATGTAAATATACAATTGTAATGTTTATTTTAAACACCTATATTGTAATATAAACATTTCCTAATACTTAGATATAGATATCTAGCATTATAATTTACACTTAAGTCTATATAACGTACATTTTTTTCTTTTTAGAAACCACAATAGTCCTGATCCTGAAGATTCTCCCATAATGCAAGACGGTGAGATGCTCAAATTGAACTGTCCATAAGTCCCTTTGTCATTCTGGGTGGTAGTGTGTTTAGGGAAGTGCACAACATAAAAATGCTTTGGGCGACGGTCAGTCTTTAGTTTCAGTTTTGTTGTGACAGCTTACCGCCTGTATAGCACCATCTAGTGCGAAATAAAGTATATCCAGTACATGTACCGGCACATGAAGATACAAACTTTACATTCTCTCAAGCAAGAAAAAAAACCATCAGTAAATTAATTAGGGTGACCATACGTCTTCTTTTCTAAATTGCCTAAAAAGCATGGGTTTTGGCTTTGTTTTCCTAATGTTTTCATACTTGCTAAAGGTTATGACTGAAAAGTCCAATACCATGCAGGCATTGCACATAATCGTCCAATCGTGGCATGCGAGAAGGGTGGGATCTTCAACGAATATTCAAAGCAATGCAAATGTACATAATGTATGAGGACTGTAGAGAGAGCATTGCAATAGGGAAAAAAAGCCAAAACCCTGACATTTTAGGCAATTTAGAAATCCCATCCAGGACATGCCCGGGAAAGCGACTACATTCAACATCAGTGAGATTGTTGCTGATCAAATACCTGACCTCTCTACTTCACAAAAACTTCATGTTGCTTTACCAGGTGTTGCTGAAACAGCAGATGACCCACTGGCTATCGCAGCCATCCAGTCAGCTGCCGCATTCTCCACAGATCAGCAAATTAAGTATCATCTTGTAAAAACGGAAGGAACAGGGGGGCAGGTATGTTGCCCATGTATGCATGGTATATACAGGTCATTGGATATGATGATTAAACCCTTGACCTCCATGGTTCAGGTGACATACCGGGTGATCCACTTGGCTGACGGGCAGGTAGAAGGACAGGCAGATGGGGCTGCAGCAGTCAGTGTGGTGACTGGGTTTCCCACAGTAACTCAGGCAGCCACACCACCTGTAACCCAGGTATTAGTTGTTTTTAACAGCAATAGAAATTTGAGCTTGTTGCTGAAACCTTTTTATATCAAAGAGGTGGTTGTGCTAGTAGGTGCTTGTGTGCATGTATTTATAGGCTGTGATCTCGCAGTGTGAGAGTCTAGAGGGAGAGACGTCTGAGACTCAATACTACTATCCTGCCACCATCTCTGACACAACTGCCAGCACCATGGTCACCAATCTCCACACAGCTGATTCGGTACTGTCTCAACCAACCTCTGCAGGTAATGCCAAACTACATTTACAAAATCATTCAAATTCTAAAGCTTAGAAAGGACACATTATATTTGATCTGTGGTGACAGTAAAGACGTTTATTATGTTACAAAATGTTCAGACATTTCTTTCAAATAAAGGTCATTCTTCTGAACTTTCTATAGAATCCTGGAAAAAAATGTCATGGTTTCAATATTAGGTGGCATAACTGTTTTCAACATTGAGAATAATAAGAAATGTTGCTTGGAAGCCAAATCAGTATATTAGAATGATTTCTGAAGAATCGTGTGACACTGAAGACTGGAGCAATGGCTGCTTAAAATTCAGCTTTGCCATCACAGAAATTAATTACATTTAAAAAAATATTTAAATTGAAAAGTTATTTTAAATTGTAGTAGTATTTCACATATTTACTGTTTGAATTATATTTCATTTAAATAAATGCCTTTGTGAGCCTTTGCCTTCTTTCATTAAAAGAATCTTACCAACCCAGAATGTTAGTGTACATGATGTGGTTTCTAGTTATTCTGATAGTTTGTTGCAGAAAAGTGATGGATTTTTCTATGAAAGTAGTTCCCTTGCAAAAGGTAGCATTATTATATACAGCTAAAAAGTGAAAGTTACATGCTTTTAATTATATTTTATGTCTAATGATGCAATTATATCAACAGTTTATCATTTTTAGATTCAGTCGCCTGACTTCATTTTCTTTCAGGTCAACTCTATGTAATGATGTCACCTCAGGAAGTTCTAGCCACAGCACAGCAGAGGTTGTTCTCTCATATCGCATACATAAAACCACCTGTCCTATCACAGTATTCTGTTTCTTCTCAACATCTTCAACGAATCCTATATTCTTCACAGTAAGTCGGGAACACCGCGTGCTTCCAGAGGTGACAAGCGGAGGGCTCAACACAATGAAGGTTATTCTGTGTCTTGTTTGAAATCGGGAGCTCCACCTCATTATCCAATCCCTGCTGCTCTATTTCATATTAGACTGCAAAAGATTTATCTTTAAACGTGTCGTGGAGTTCTGTCTGAATGTAAGCATTTTGTCCCCTCAGTGGAACGCAGACGGAGGGACAAGATCAACAACTGGATTGTCCAGCTTTCCAAAACAATTCCTGACTGCAATGTGGATGCAACCAAAAATGATCAAGTAAGCTTAGTTAGCACAAGCCACCAGCAGTGAACGTTTTATTCAAAGGTATAATGTACAGTGTTATTGTAGAATAACGGGGATGCTATACATTTTCTTTAATATTTTGACATTTTGTATTTAGATCTTAATTTGTTTGTTTTTGTTAAAAAAAATTTACTTTAAAACTTATTCGTTTTTTCGATTTTTTATTTCTTTATAGCTCCAATTTTTGAGTTTTACTTTTTGTATTTATACAAATTTTTTGTTCAACTAAATTAAACTTTGAAATGTCTCAGATTGTCTTCTGCTCTTCTGTGTAGAGTAAAGGTGGGATCTTGTCCAAGGCATGTGACTATATCCAAGAGCTGCGTCAGAGCAATGCAAGACTGGAGGAGGAACTTAATACTGTGGATAGACTGAGGATGGACAATCAGCTTCTCAAACAAGAGGTAACTTACCACTTCAAATGCTAGAGCGTTCTGAACATTTTAGTTATTCATTTATTAAAACTGATATTGTACGCATATTTTCAGAATCAAATACTTTAATGAACAGTACAGGATGACTACTAGCTTCCACTATAACCACAACAACTGCTGCTGCTAATAGCACTTCTGAAGTCAAACACAGCAGTTCTGCACTTTTTTTATGTTGGTGGGATTGTTTTAAAGGGGTCATATGATGCTTTTTAAAAGATCATTATTTGGTGTATTTGGTGTAACAGAATATGTTGACATGCTTTAATGTTAAAAAAAAAACACGAAACCACGCCTTCTTTCTTTGCGTGCACATTTGGGCCGCATTATGCTAATATTTCCACATAGTGAGTTAGATATGTGGGGGCATGTTAGAACGAGCCGTTTTAGGGGGGCATGGCAGAGTCTTAACTTTGATAAAGAATATCTCTTTGGTTTTGAGACTTTAGTCTTTGCAACTTCAGGGATCTTATCTATTCACAATCAGCTTGTAACACTCCAAAGAGAAAGGAAAACTTGAAATCGCATCATATGACCCCTTTAAAGAAAACGGACAACACTGATTCATTTTCTCATACAGTCTCTCTTATGCCTTGTCTCCACATACACACACAGATGGAAGAGTGGAAATCAAAGAATCAGATGATCAGAGCCCAGTTAAGACAGCACGGCATAGTGGCAGCATCAATGGACTCTCAGTGAAGAACCGCAGCTCAACTATAAGCTTCTCCTGCTCTGGTCTTGTCATTAATTCTGTTTATTCATGTTTGAAATGACATGTAAGTAGTCATTCTTACCGTGGACAATCACACTTTTCTCTTTGTCTCCTTCACTGTTCACTTCACACGCAGCCTTTGATTGTTTCAGATTATTTCCAGAGTGGTCTGGTATTTTAACTGCACTGAAATTATATATAATTGTGTTATAAAGAATGTATATATATAAAGGATGATCATACTTTGAATGACTACTCTGATGGTTTTTCAGATATGTTTTTTTATTCAGCATTGAAATGTGTTAACATTTTGGTGACCTTCATTGCGTTCTTTAAGCGTCGTATCATTGACTGCTATCTTTTGTCTGCAGTGAATTATTCAGCCTAAACGTTTTTTTTTGATACTGTCAGTTTCCATCAGTATTTTTCTCTTTTTTTATTTAATTAATAATAATTTACTAATGCGTATAGTATTTGGATGATATAAGTCTACAGTAACCGAAAACGTAATATTATTACTTTGCCCTGTTCACAAATGTTGCCTAATTACATGGTAAATTCGATAGCGTTTTTTTGCCATTGAATACCTGGCAAAAGTGTGCATTAAGTATTCAGAAGAAATTAGTAGATTAAATACTGTTTCAACACTGCTGAAGAGTAATATGTTTACTTAAGTGTTGAAATACTTCTTGTTTAATACTACTACTTGCTTTTGTAAGATTCTTCTTGTCCTGATGTTTCTATTAAATCGAAAAATAAGTGGCTGGCCTAGATGAAGATAGTTCTTTCTTAGACAAAGAAATCTTTCTTACTGATGAAATTAAGGCTTGAAAAGCTCTCTTTCTGTCTACAGGACTGCATGCCGCTTTTACGGTTTCTGTTGGTAATCCCTCAGTAAAAGTCAAAGAGAATGAGGGTAAGTTTCATTTTCTTTTTTTGGTTTATACTTGCCTTTCAGTTACAGCCTAATTGTTTCTGTGTGGCAGTAATCAGATAAATGAAAATAATGGAGAAAATCTGATGTGTCTGTATTGGTTTTGCACTATAGAGAATAGCTGTTTGGGTTGATTCAAGGATTCGGTTTTTGATGTGAAAAACATTTATGCACAAAGTATTACTTGTTTTCAGGAGTTGACTTGAAATGTTCCTACACTGCTGACTTTGGAGCGACACCCAGAATAGAATGGAAGTTCAAGGATCTCAAGGGCTATCAGTTTTTCATCTACTTTGCTGGAATGATGACTGGTATAAGACTTTATTGTTGTCATCCAGTGTCATCATTGTGACCTGGCAGTAGCATTTCCTTATTGTGTGTTGACGTGTGTCTTATTGTAATGAACATTAAAAAAAAGATATTGCATTATGCATCTTTTTTCTTTCTGTAGCTGAATATGAAGGCCGTATCACTGTGTATGATGGAGGACTGAGATTTAACAAGGTGACGCGAGCAGACAGCGGAGACTATGACTGTGAGGTTTCTGGCAGTGGTGGATATGACGAGAAGACCATCAAACTCACAGTCCTTGGTAAATCTGAGTAGTAGAAAAGTCATTTTGCAAAGATTATTACTTTGATGAAATTATATAATACACCAAACAGTCTTGTCATTCCCACTGTAATTCCCTCCACTACAGTGCCTCCTTCCAAGCCTGTATCCAGAATCCCTTCATCAGTCACAACAGGCAGTAACGCCCGCCTGACCTGCTTCGACACAGATGGCTCCCCTCCATCCACCTACAGGTGGTACAAGGACAACACTCCCCTCCCTGAGGATCCAACCAAGTTCCCCAATTTTAAGAACCTCACCTACAAGATGAACATTTTCAGTGGTAACCTGGTGAGTGTTCATCTACAATATTATCTGTATACAGTGCTTAACAGATTTATTAGACCACCACCACCCGATTTAAGGTTTGTGCCACAACTACCCTAAGATAACAGTATTGGCGATTACCAAAATCATTTTTATGTTTCTGTAATGGTTAATCCACAGTAGTGTTTCTAATGCTAAAATATAATTATTGTTGTTATCCATGAATTTTCGAATGTACTGTTTTACAAGAAAGGTAGAAAAATAGTAAAGCATTTTATTTTTTTATTCACATGCCCAATTACAGTCAATAAATACAGTCTAGTAGATTTGTTAAGCACTGTATTTGCTTAACAAATTTATTAGACCACCTGTCATAATAAAAAGAAAACACACATAATTTAGCAATCTGTCAAAAACTTTGACAATTAAAAAAAAAAAAAAAGACTGTCATTTATTATGCAAATAACAAACTGAAACAACTAAATAGTCTTTATTCACACATAATAACCAAAAAACTATGGCCTTGATAACAGCTTGCATTCTTGCTGGCTTAGTTTTTATGCACTTTTCCACAATTTCTGTTGTTATTGACTGTAATTGTGCATCTGAATAAAACTAATTATGAAGTGCTTAACTATTTTTTCTGCCTTTCTTGTAAAACAGTAAATTCGAAAATTCATAGATAACCACAATTATATTTTAGCATTAGAAACAACACTGTGACTAATTAGTATATAATGTTTTTGTATATGCCTCCTCATTGTATTGAAAGATAAATTATATTTATAAAACTGGATTCTTTGTGTTATCAGGAGTTCCCAAATGTGTCTAAACTGGATACTGGTTCATATTTCTGTGAGGCCAGTAATGGAGAAGGCACTCCTCAGCGTGGAGATGCAGTGGTAATGGAAGTCCGTAAGTAACATTGTCATTGCTTTCAAATAATAACTGAACATTTACACACTAAGTGGCAGTTATAGGACTTCGAGTCACCAGAGAATGTGCTTTCAGTATATTATCAACAACAATATATATAATAAATAATAACATAACTTAATAATAATAATAACTTTTCAAATCATACTACGCAGTTCACTTTAGTTGTCACTACACTACATGACTTTAGATAACTACAGTATACTTCCATTGTAATCTCACATTTGATCAGATCTACCTCCTCAATTTTTTTTTATATAATGCAAGCAGACAAATATAAATCCTTAGCATATATGGAGCAGGCTGGTTGCACAAACATAGCCATTAACCTAAGTACAGTTGCATTTTTAGAAGAATATAAGGCCATTAAATCTTTTTTTTTTAATTAACAAATTGTTAAAGATGTTTAAAATCATTTTGTAAACATGGTGCAGGAAATAAAGAAAGAGATATTTAAAAGAAATAATACAGCAACTGGAGGACAACCAAACATTATACATAAAAAAGGACAACAGAAAGTTATAGAAGTGTATGCAGAGTATTTTGGGGAATCCTTGGAGTCAGTGAGAGCAGGCCAGTCCATTGCCTGAAACAAAAGAAGAAACATCTCTTCCTATTGCCATTATCACAGCTCTGCTTTTGAGTAGAGTGTTGTTTTCTGCTAGGTTTTCTTTCTAGCTACTTTTGAGCTAACTTTGTTTTTGTTATATAGGTGATGAGGACAACAGCCAAGCACCAGCTGTGAGGGGCAGCTTGAGCACGGAGACCCAGAATGTCCCAAGCAAGATCACCATGAACCACATACTGGAAAAACAGTATGGTGTATTCATGTTGCAAGAGATGAAACTAAAACTAGAGATACAAAAGCTTGAATTAGAAATAACCAAGTTAAAGTTGGAGCTGCAAAAACTTGGACAAGAACCTTAAATACCATTCAACATTGCTGCTCTGAATCCAGGACTTTATTTAATGTCATGACTTCGGTAACACTTTACTTGAAGGGGTGTGCATAAGACTGACATGACACCTTCATAATCATTACATGACACATGTCATGAATATGAAGGAGGTTTTATGCATGTTTATGACAACTGTCATACTTCAGATGTTTTTAATTTTGCTAATCAATTAAATTGATTAACTAGAATGATCTAGCATTTATTAGTGCCATGTTCAATATTTTCCACTATATATATATATATATATATATATATATATATATATATATGATTAGCCATTGGCTAATATTCTCAGATTTTACTGTGTGAGTTGGAGGGTAAGTATAAGTTTAGCACAGATATATTTTCACTCGCCGAACACACTAACCGAGCCTTTCAGAGTTTCACTCTCTGTCAAGCGCTATTTTTTTTCAACTCATCTCAATGGATGTGCAGCACACCTGTATTTGACGTACCGTAAACTCTTGTAAATAACATCTATATGAAGGCCATATCACTGTGTAATGGAGGACTGAGGTTTACTGAGGTGACAGGCGCCCTGGTTGTGTGGTGTCTGGCAATGGTGAAAAGTATTGGTTAAGAAGATCCAAACAAGTTGTGCATTTCACAGCAAACAGAGCTCCCTCCTAATCTCACAGTGGCCAGGGAGGAGCTGGTGGATCAGGTGACCTGGGTGAAGATGAAAACCAGGGCGGAGTCGGTGGGTCAGGTGACCTGGGTGAAGATGAAAAAGCCATGGCGGAGTAGGCAGAGTAGAAGACCTCCACGGTGGCAAAGGCAGAGCAGGAGAGTGAGCTCCAACTCACAGAAGGTCCTTTGAGGACCATAACAGAGTAGTTGTGATTTTAAATGTTTCATTGAATCCAGTACGGAAGAAGGTAAGGAGTGAACTGTGTGGAAAGTGAGTGTGGTGTGCCAAGTCCGAAAACTCACGGGTGTGGTCCTCAAGGGAACGCTCACCCTGGTGCAGGAGGAGAAGCTGCATATCTGCTAGATCCTAAAGGTGAGATGGTGTGTAATGTTGAGGAAAAGCTGGGGAAAACAGAGCAGAGGCTAGGATCTATGAGCAGGGTTTTTAATGAGAAAATAAGAAACAAACAGTAGGCCGAAACAAGGAAAATAAAACTAGAGGTACAAATCCAAGACTGTCATAATTTCAGTTTTTTTATTTATTTAATTAATTTAATTGTATATACTGTAAGTGATTAAGTAGAATATTCTAGTATAGTCTACTATTTTTAGTACTATGTTCAGTATTTTCATCTACAATGTTTTTTTTAATCAATCATTTGTCAAACAAAACATCCAGATCTATTTTCATCTCCTGCTACTAAACATTAAAGCTGGTTCTTCAAGCACCTCCGGGTCTGAAAATGCCAGTGCAAAGATCTTTATATTAAAACATTTGAATCCTTAACTAGTATGGATTAAAACTATACTGTTGTTAATAATTCTGTTGTCTTCCAGTTTATCATTATAACTTTGCAGAAGCATTGACTTTTCATTGTGTTTGATATGTAAACAACATGGATATTGTATGAGAATTAGTTATTCATTTTCCAATTGTGATGTTGGGGGATGTCATTGCGTTGTATCTGTTTTCTTTCATCAGTTCAATATGAAGACCATA